GTTTGCTGTGAAAGTCAAGTGTCTAATTTGCTAAACTCACCTACTGCTGGATTTGTCTGATTGCCATATTTCCATGCCATCTCATAATTTAAGGCAGCATCTGAATACGCTTGTTCTTTCTCCATAATGTACCCCATATATTCATAAGCTTTGCAGCAAGACTGAAGAAAAATGGAAAATGTATCAATAGATTAAACTCGATACCACTAAGGTTTTATGGGATATTTATGACTATGGTGGTCAACCACATAAACCTATTTAAATGGCGCATAAAACAATGGTTTTCAACCTTAGCTGAGCAATCAAATCATCTATGGAACATAATAAACTTAATAAAAGATTCTGATGCTACGCTACCTCCCAAGCCTACAGAATAAGGATTTACTGGGGGAAGAGGCCAGGACATGTGTATTTTACACCTACAGTGTATACTTGTGTGTGACTGTGCATATATATATATACACACATATATACACATTTCTTATTATGAATAATTTCAAATACATACAAATATAGAGATAACAGTATAATGAAACCCATGAACCCGTAACTTAGTATCAACAATTAAATCATGACTCGTCCTGTTACATCTGTATCCCATCCACTTCTGCCTTTACATATTATCAGAAAATAATCTTCATTTTTGTATCAATTTATCCATAAATATTTTAGTATGCGTTTTCAAAAAATATGGACTCTTTCTTTAAACATAACCACAATTCATCCTTAATATCACCAAATATCCAGCCAGTATTCAAAATCTGAATTATCTCAATATCATAGATTTTTTACAGTTTGTTAGAATGAGGATACATATAAGGTCCACATACTGTGATTGGTTGGAACGTCTCTCAAGTCTTTTGTCTGTGTTAAAAAATATATAACATGAAATTTGCCGTTTTAACCATTTTTTAATATTCAATTCAGTGACATTAATTATATTCACAATGTTGCACAACCATCAGCACTGTTTCTAAAACTTTTTCATCCCCCCCAAACAGAAACTCTGTACCCAGTAAACAGTGGCTCCCCATTCGTCCTTATCCCCAGCCCCTAGTAACCGCTTATGTACTTTCTGACCCCATGTATTTTGCCTACTCTAGATATTCATGTATATGGAATCATACAATATTTTTCCTTTTGTGTCTGCTTTATCTCACTTGGTATAATGTTTTCAAGGTTCATCCATGTTGCAGCATGTATCAGACCTTCATTTCTCTATTTCATTATATGGATATACAACATTTTATTTATCCATTCATCTGCTGATGGGCACTTGAGTTGCTTCTATCTTTTGGCTATTGTGAATAATACTGCAATAAACACTGGGGTACAAATATCTCTTTGAGTCCCTGCTTTCAATTCTTTGGGGTACATATCTAGAAATGGGTAATTGCTTGAGTCATATGGTAATTCTATCTTCAACCTTTTGAGAAACCACCAAACTGTTTTTCATAAAGATGCAACATTTTACATATCCACCAGCAATGGACTAGGGTTCCATTTTCTCCAAATCCTCCTCAATACTTGTTATTTTCCCATTTTTTTTGGTAATAGCAATCCTAGTAGGTGTGAAATGTTATCTCATTGTGGTTTTGATTTGCATTTCTCTAAGGACCAATGGTGTTGAGCATCTCTTCATATGCTTATTGGCCATTTGTATATCTTCTTTGAAGAAATGTTTGTTTAAGTCCTTTACCCATTTTTAAATTCAAGTCTCTTTTAATCTAAAGGTTTTCCCTCCACCTCTTCCTCTCTCTTTTTTATAAAATATCTGTAGTAGAAATCAGAATGTTTGTCTTGGCGTTTCTCACTGCCTAGATCTAGTTGACTGCATCCCTGTGGTGTTATGTAATACGCCCCTATGTCGCTGATACTTTGAAATTATAATTAAGTGTAGAAGTTTTGATTTGATTTTGATTTGGGAGAAGGGTGAAACTATAGATCAGTGCATGCAGAGCCATACTGGAACCTGAGGCAAAAGGAAAAATGTGTACCTCTCTATACATATTTTTATGTATTTTGTTAATTGATCAGTTTTTCAGGAATAATTTAAAAATATTGAGAAACTGAAAAGTAGGTATATTAAAACTTACAACATGTTTTTAAGTTTAAATATTTTATTTATACTCAAATCAAATTTATTATAATTTTACTTTCCTGCCCCATTAAGAAATGGATATGGGGTACACATTTTTCCTTTTGCTTCAGGCTCCAATATGATTTGGCACAGCACTGTCAAATCCTGTCTTTATTTAAGATTTTAATACTTTGTTCATCATGAATTTCTTTTGATTTTTTTAAAAAACTGCACTAAAATATTATTTGATTACTGAGTTTTTTTGGTGCCCCCTTGAATTCTGAACCTGAAGCAAATGCTTTCCTTGCCTCAACCCAGTCCAGGGCCCACTGTAGGTATCACGAGGTACACAATGACTGATTCTCTTTCTGTAAAGCTATCACATAGTCATTAACTCATCAGAGGAGAAAAATGATGATATTCTATCATCCTTTCTTCATTTATTATCTAGAAAGCATTTATAATGAGAAACTTCTCCTTATCTATTTGGTTATGCAGTAGTATAATTTATACAGAAAAGGCAGGATAAATGCTTAATTTTTCCCTTTATTTGCAGAGTTAGAAATAATATTAAATCCATAAGCATAACTGTGGTGATCAAATAGAACTCTTTCTTCTAGTTTGGATCTTTGTGAATTAATGGATTTAAATACTTGATGTGTTTCAGTCCACTGTAGTTATTATTCTTGTTGAAAGTGAAACTGTCCCAACTCTGGCTAGTGGAAGTGTCTTCAGACTGGCTCCGGAGTCCTTGATAGGACTCTAATCATAGTTCCTTACCATCTGGTATGACAAGGTGGTCCAGTGTCATTGTCATCTTGTATCATTCCTGTTCAGGTCTGGTTCAGGCGCCACTTCTTTTTTTAACTCTATAATTCAAGATTTCTAAGCTCTAATTCCTGGATCTTATACTTCCAGTATCTACATGTCTAATCGGCAGGACTGAAATCTCTGAAGTAGCCATCATATTCAACCATGCAATGTCAGCATTCCAACAAGCTGAAATTCTTGATTTAATTTCCACAACCTTAATTTCCTAT